CGACATAACAGACTGTGGTTTTGTTAGTGACCCAGTAGTTACAGCCTCAATAAGAGGAGCTACTTGTTCTTCTATCTTGATATGGGCTAGTTTCCCGACATACTTCACTGTTGTCTCGGAGGGGGACACTACGGCCAGTGAAATGAGGAGTAATTACTGTGACGTTTATTGGATTGCAACTGGGAACAATTGCTGAGGAGGAGGCACGATTGTTCATTTTTAAAAACTTTTAGTAAATTTTGATTCAAATATAAATAAAAGTGCAAATCGTATTTTTTATTTTTTGAGAGAATAATAACTTTTTAAGTTAAACTTAATAAATTGCTCAACTATGCGAAGAGTATTTCAACGGCTACATTATCAGATACCGCCAGAGCACCTTATTAATACCGCCAGTCTAAGAGCACCTTATTAATTTCTATCAGACTATCAATCCATCTCAATATTATTATTATTATTAATATATTAGGCAGCTACACTTCTGTACCCAGAATAATCAGCTGCGCTAAATATGCTTATGATAATTATTTAAGATTAAATATTAAACAGAACACCCCTAATAATTACAGGCCATCAGCTGGTACAATAAGACTTGTCAAAGGGGCCCTGCCTTTATTTAGAGGCTTTTTTGCTTAGGTTTAATCCGTTCTACTATCGTAGAGAATGGTTATAACATCGTAAAAACAGTGGAGAACGCAACTCCTAGTCAAATGACGGATAGCCTTTGTGACGTGCATTGGAGTGCTTTCGGGTACAATTGTTGAGAAAGAACAAGAGATGGCTTTCATGACTTTTCTGTTTTCAAATTATAAAATATTTCAATTTTCTTAGTTTTATTGAGGCTAACATTGTACGTTCTATTACAATTATTATTATTGTCATAATACGAGACGTTTTATCTGTTTTTTGAAATTGTGTTGCAGAAACTGTCGTTTAAATTAACTATAGGTCTTTGGTATTATTACATCAATAAGTATACAAAAAGTTCCGTGAAAAACCAGATATTACCTTCTAGAAAATAAAGTTTGCAGACCAGTGAGCAACTTCACATCCATGAAAATAAAGCCACTAGTAACAATAATCTTTACGCCTATTATATAATGGTGGAGAAATATAACACAGTTCTCCGCCCCACGAAAAACCTCACCGAACCTCCACGCGGTGTGGGGTGGGTGGCTCGAACGAGGTGCAGTGCATGGGTGTTTCTAACCTATGCAAAGGAAGGGACTAGCCATCTCTACAACAAGGAAAGGCTCGAATAGCCTTATACTAACCTTAGAACCGCAGCATAACCGCTTTTCCCACAGGCAAATAACACCTTCCACGGGAAACTAACACGCTCACAGGCTCCCACATGACGTGTAACCCCAGGATTTAGCACGCTCACAGACTACCACGTCTTGTGTAACCTTAGGACTCTAAAACTTAACAGACTTTAACACGCTCACAGGCTACCATGTCTCGTGTAATCCCAGGATTTTACACGTTCACAGGCTACCACGCCTCGTGTACCCTAGGATTTTGTTTTGGATCGGACACTCAAAACAACGATTTAGGAGCGGTCTACACGCTCACAGGCTACCATGTTTCGTGTAACCCTAGGATTTAACACGCTCACAGGCTACGACGTCTCGTGTAACCCCAGGATTTAACACGCTCACAGGCTACCACGTCTCGTGTAACCCTAGGACTCTAACACTTAACAGACTCTAACACGCTCACAGGCTACCACGTCTCGTGTAACCCCAGGATTTAACACGCTCACAGGCTACCACGTCTCGTGTAACCCCAGGATTTAACACGCTCACAGGCTACCACGTCTCGTGTAACCCCAGGATTTAACACGCTCACAGGCTACCACGTCTCGTGTAACCCCAGGATTTAACACGCTCACAGGCTACCACGTCTCGTGTAACCCTAGGACAGTAGGACTCTTAGGGTCTGCCCACACTACGCCATGTGGCGACGGGCCACATGGCCCGATTAACCTAAACACACTGTGCCACTTGGCGTGGAGTTAGCAAATCCGCGCTTCTATTCAGAGGCACGGATTTCCTGCCCACACTACGCCATGTTGCGACGGGCCACATGGCGTGGGTCAAAAGGCACAGTGTATATTTAGAGCTCCCGCCACTAGTCACCGGATTCACACAACGAGGCGCGTAGTGTGTTTAGAGCTCCCGCCAGTTGGCGTGGAAACTCTCGGAGAATAGAGGCACGGATTTTAAAAATCCGTGCCTCTATTCCCATTGCTAAATCCACGTCAAGTGGCACAGTGTGTTTAGATAGACCGCATAGACGGGCCACATGGCGGGAGCTCTAAACACACTGTGCCTTTTGACCCACGCCATGCGGCCCGTCGTCACATGGCGTAGTGTGGGCAGACCTTCGGGGAATAGAGGCGTAGTGTGGGCAGACCCTAACAGACTCTAACACGCTCACAGGCTTCTCGTGTACCCTAGGATTTGGTTTTTGGATCGGACACTCAAAACAACGACAGAGGAGTGGTCTACAGTGACGTTACAGGAACATTGCATACTCCTACGAGTTGCACGTAGCTATGACCTTCCCTGGAAGTCCCTGTCTCTCTGTCGTTAACTCGGCGGGGTTGTACCAGGGGCGGTGGTAACAGAACTTCAAGACTCTCGGAGTCTGTTGTCGATATCTATGTTTAATATATTTATGGTATAACTAACTAATAATGTGACCAGTCCTTCGAATGATTATATTTGTGGATTTTTGTTTGCGGTGTGTCTTTAGATAATTCTCCACGGAGAAGTTAGCGTAACATATGGTTACTTATTGTCAAGAATATAAGGGAATATATAATAATATAATAAACGTGATTAAAAACGGTGAAAATTAATTTTCACTTTTTAAAGTTGTTAGGTAGAAGGTGTAATATTTTTCTTGTCATTTACAAAGATGCTGAAAGTCGATCCTATTGAGGAAGAACTGTGTTATATTTCTCCATCATTATATAATAGGCGTAAAGATTATTGATAGTGGCTTTATTTTCATGCGAAGTTCCTTGCTGGTCTGCAGAACTTTATTTTCTAAAAGGTAAGATCTAGTACTACACATATTTTGTGTCATAATTTAAGCGACAGTAATTGTTATAATGGTGGTCTAAAAAAAATGGAACAAATAAAAGAAAAATCTACTGAAACAAAATGAAATCTTAAAAACAGAAAAGTCAAGAAAGCATCTCCTGTTCTCAACAATTGTACCCGAAAGCGCTCCAATACACGTCACACTGGCTGTCAACCATATCATGAGCTGACATGATCTCCACCGTTTGTACATCAGATATCGATTTTGTAACGTAATCTCGCTCTATGAAGATAGCCGGGCATTTACCCTTGTTGTTACCGCTCAAAGTGGCAGTAACAACAGGGCTAGAAACAAATCCACATTCCGAGTAGTCGATACCTTTATACGCTCTTCCGGAAATGTGATTTTTCCAATACTCTTTCTGGTTGTAGCTTGAAACTCCAGAGCATGTCAAACTCAAAGCACAGTGTTCGGGGTGGGTTCCTCCGTCGGGGGTGCTTAAGATCTTCAAATTACTTGCGAGAGTGGGGTTAGTCAGCAACATCACAGTCAGTAGATAGCCGAGAAGTTTCATCTTGCGCAGAGTTTGAACGATCGCTAATTGAAAAAGTAAGAAAGTGACCTTTCCTTCGTAGGATTATATTATATTGCTGTGGATTTTATGTTTGTGACGTGTCTTTAGATCTTTTGTCGGAGAAGTTAGGGCAACATATGGTTACTTATTGTCAGAATATAAGGGAATAAACGTGATTAAAAACGGTGAAAATTAATTTTCACTTTTTAAAGTTGTAAGGTAGAAGGTGTAATATTTTTCTTGTCATTTACAAAGATGCTGAAAACCAACCTACGACCAACCTCCGACCAACCTCCGACCGACCTCCTACCGCCTACCGGCGTTAACCTACCGCCGACCGGCGCCCGACCGACCTCCGACCGACCTCCGCGCCGACCGACCAGCCTTGTCTGTTCTTTGACCATAATTTGGGAGTTTCTCTCTCCGGCAGCAGGAGTTGGAGAATGGGGACGCGTTGTGAAAGCCACCCTAAGGAAGGCTTACTGTCGACGCCGACCAATCAAAAGAAGAGAACACAGTTCTCCCTCAATAGGATCGATTTTCAGCACCTTTGTAAATGACAAGAAAAATATTACACCTTCTACCTAACAACTTTAAAAAGTGAAAATTAATTTTTACCGTTTTTAATCACGTAGGATTATCGTAGGATTATACGGAGGAACCCACCCCGGACCCTGTGCTTTGACATGCTCTGGAGTTTCAAGCTACAACCAGACTGGAGAAGACCGCAGCTGGTTTAATAAATACTTTTCCGGAAAAGCGTATAAATATACGGACTACCCGGGATGTGGGTTTGTGTCTAGCCCAGTTGTTACTGTCACTTTGAGCGGGGAATGGGGGGGTAAGTGCCCGGCTATCTTCATTATACACATTACCAAATCGGGATTTTATGTACAAACGGCGCGGTGGAGGACATGTCAGCTCATGATATGGTTGACAGCCAGTGTGACGTGTATTGGAGCGCTTTCGGGTACAATTGTTGAGAACAGGAGATGCTTTCTTGACTTTTCTGTTTTTAAGATTTCATTTTGTTTCAGTAGATGTTTCTATTATTTGTCCGAAATTTTGTGGCTGAAAGTATTCCAGAGTCCAGAGTCCAGACAACTTTTGCTATTAAAATATTGATGTTCTAATTGATAACTGTTAAAATCAGACTAGTGGCCCATACAACGATGTGTGAAGTAAAGATCTTTACCATTTCTTATAGACCCTCGTTTCTAAGCCAATGAGCACAAAATTAAAAAAGTACTAATAAGTGGAGAATTATAAAGCAAGTATATAAAACTGTTAAACTCACGTCTGATTCACTTTTACTTTCACTTTCACTTTCACTAATGTACAAGCAAGACGTATATAAAACTGTAAAACTCACGTCTGATACAGCGGAAGTTGTTTTTAAGGACCTCCTTGTAGTTAGCTTTAGAGAGTTCGGGCTCGTCTGGCCACCCCTTGCAACCCCTGCAAACAGAAACACTGTCATTTTCATCTAGCACTTGTACGTATTCATGACCATTTTAGTACGTATTTAGTACGTATACCAAGATCAAGGGTAGACGGAGTCCTTGGCATCGGTCTACCCCTGATCAAGTTTTAGTGAGCACTCACCTCAGCTTACTAGTTACTATGGTAACTGCTATGGTAACCGTGGTAACTATTACTTACTATTCTAGAACATTCCACACATGTCTCATCTTGGTGTGTGAATTATCAGATATTGTGTTCTACTCATTGCGGTATTGTGAGGTGACTATATATATATTATTAGAATTAGTACCTATCCGTACAAGTTTCGCATCGACATCAGATGATGAACTCCGTCAAAAACTCAGTGATTCAAGATGAACGAGTATTATTTACAATACAATATTAGACACGTCATAAAGTACGAGTTGTGATAAAAGTCAGCACTTTAAAGTTATTTACCAATCAAATCGAGCCTTTATCATCTCCCCACTGCAATAAAATCCATCGTACAATAAGTTAATAACTTATTGCTAATTAATTTAATTTAATAACTAATTAATTAGCTAATTACAAATAAGTTAATAACTTACTTGTAATTATTTAATTAATTAGATAATTAACTAATTGACCACTTACGACGAGAAGGAAGTCTTGACGTAGTAATCAGTGATAGGGTGGGAGGTGTCAAGCTGGCCAATATCGTAACAGTGATTATCTGAACTCATCAGAAAACAACTGAACCCTGAGAAAAAAATACCAATAGGTTAGATATTACTAATAATTAAGATAGAACGGAGTAATGATTACTAATAATTAAGTAATTAAGATAAAACGGAGTAATGATTACTAATAATTAAGATAAAACGGGTTGAATATTACTAATAATTAAGATAAAACGGGTTAATTTTGTAATCTACACAGCGCAGTTCAATTTACACAAATGATGTTCACTGCCCGATGTAATTCCAGTCGGAATATTATATCCTGATATGTGAGGGATGCACAAGTTAAAATAATGTGACTAATCTTTTAAATTGAAACTAACGGAAGATTAGTATGATTAATTAATACGCTTGCTTACTTAAACAATTAAGTGACGGATTGTCAGTATAGTATGGAGTATATTTTAAATAAATTTGATGTAACATTAGTCTTTAATTAAAGTTGATGTACAGCAGATCTAAAAATAGCTACAAAGTGCAGCTGTCTACGTTAACATTACCTAATGTGTTGACAAGACGTGTGAAAGTTTGTTACCTAGAAGTAAAATAATCTATAAAAAACTAAGTGTTTACTGTCTAGCTGTAATGGTACAGTATTATAAGTAGTACTAAAGTATGTCATCTGCAAAGCGACGTCCCAAATATGAAACACGGCGGTGGTATAAAAGCCAACGTATGTATACTGACCCCCCCCCCCCCCTCCCGGCCCCCGGCCCCTGTAGTATCAACTTTAGTGGTGTACGCTTTTTGGGCTTCACGTGGAATTTGGAGTCTCATGGAGAACAGTGAGTTGATAATAATAGATGAATTGTATCGTTGTGTAACTACTTTTCATAAAGGATAATCATAAACTAATTATAGTGTGGCTGTGTCTGAGGGTTAAAATAACTATAATTGAATAAACCTTAAGTAAAATGATGAATTGGTGGACATAATCAGAATAATAATTGCGGAGGAACACGGGGCTTGACGACAGGGATAAACAAGCTGAATAGAGAGATCTGGAGGAGAAACATATCTGCTCGGACATTGAAGCCGCCCTAAGTCGAAGAAAGTCGAGGTTATCAGGATAAAAAATAATAATAATAACTCACCGTCGACGGTCATGTAGTTATTAGCTTTACCATCTGAGGTTGGCTCATATTTCTGTATCAAATCGTCACATTCCTGCACTGTTATGTTCCACACCTAAAATTAAAGGTATTTTAATGTAAACACTGTTATGTCCCACACCTAAAATAAAAGGTATTTCAATATAAACACATTCCTGCACTGTTATGTTCCACACCTAAAATTAAAGGTATTTTAATGTAAACACTGTTATGTCCCCACCTAAAATAAAAGGTATTTTAATGTAAACACTTAAGCCACTTTTGGCGATGTTCTGGTATGTGACTATATCTCTAAGTGTTTGTTTTATAAAGTTTGGCAGTATAATCATGTGCAACCGACGGTAAAGAATCTGAAGTTGGCAGCTGCGATAACAGGAGAGACCCTTTTCATCGTAACGGAACATATTCAACAGTTGCACAATCGCCAACTTCAAAATCTTTCGACAGCATAAATTCACTTTCACTTCCGTCTTTCACTTTCACTTTCACTTCCACTTTCACTTTAAAGAATAATGTATAAATGTCCTACCCCTTGTTCGGCTTGTAGAAATAGCTGCAAGTCCTCAGCACATAGATAATCGTTATTTGTAGCGTATCTGAGGAAATTAGTAAATTTACCATCTGATTAGCAACTTAATATACTGAGATCTTCATCAGATCTTTGTAGTTTTAGGGCGAGATAATATTTCAGTGATGTTTAGTATCTAATTTCAAGGAATTTAGTTAGATATTTGGTATTATCTGAGACAAGATGTTCTACAACTATCAGAGTTGCACGCAACTGGTATCAGATAACATCAGATAGTCGGATATGACGTAAGTTTACTGTAAGGGATAATGTACAACACGACAAGGCATAATAATAGAAAACATGACAACCTACTAGCAATTATAATGAGAAATAACCCAGAAATACCCCAGAAATATCCCAGAAAGAACCCTGCGTGTCCGTTATTATTCTTTATCCGTTCAGAAACACTACTGATCTACTACTGTTGGTGTTGGTGAGGTATAGTGGTGTAGTGTTGGTAAGGTGTGGTAGTGAGGCAGGCAGACGTGCTATAAATAACTATTATAATGCCTAACGGTGGAGAGAGTTATCTGCTTATCTTCAGTAGCTGCAACACAAAGTGAACAATTACTGCAGAGTGCAGAGGTTCGTTATTTTCAATGGTAGGTATTATGTGGTGTTTAGTTGAATCTCTGAAAGATTCAAAATAAGACCCCCCCTGGCCCTGTACGTGGGCTCTCAGCTCCCTTGTTTAGCAGTACAACAAGGATATTAACTACTGGGTTCACTAGGTACGTGTTACTATGGTAACTACACGTGTTACTATGGTAACTACACGTGTTACACACGGTCTTTGTTCTCTAGAACACACCCCAGGACATGGGCGTGACATGGGCAGCATATCACCAGAATCACAAACCTAAGGTAACTATGGTAACTACGGTAACCCTTGTAACCCTAGTAACTATGGTAACTATGGTACCTTCTTACTTTAGAATCACAACCCTCGTATAAGAGGAGACGGCGAGGACTGTAAGACTAGTATAACCGAGTAACCAGTCAGCAGATCAATAAAATTATTTTTAGGAGACAGTCCTGAAAGCAAATGTTCTCACATTTTTCCGAGAAACTACATACTATATAATGCATTCTTTTTCAGGCCACACTTATTTCGCAAGAGCTACTGGCAGGCCCTAATATATTATGCATTTGAAATCTCGTTATTTTAAGTTTAAGTTTTTGAATCGTTCTTCAACTGTGTTTGAAAATGATCTCTATTACCAATTAATTGATTTTAGGCCTTTTGCACCAACAAAATCAAAAACGTTTCTCCTGTGGTGAACTGAACGCTATCTAGAATTTGGAATTGATGCAGCTTTCGGCCATCCTGCCCTAAACTATAACTTTTTTACAGACACGTTTGACACAGAATATTTTGCTGAGACTTTAACTGTAACTGCACAAAATGTTATGTTGTCTGCACATCAAACTTTAATCAAGGTATGTGGCATAATATGATGCGTTACTCACATACTACTACACAGTTTGTATTGAATACTAGACATGTTTTCTAGCATACGTACTCCAAAGAGTCCCACAACTGCCCTCATATTTTCTTATTATTTATTTTGTATTATATTACACAAGTAATTGTTTTATGTGTGATCTTATGTTCTGATAATTGGCAAAACGCCATCTTCCTTTCAGAAAACTATAAATATAATAATGTCGGTGACTCGGTGGGGAGGTAAATGTTCTTTTAAAATTGAACTAGAAAGACAGTACAGAGCTCAATAGGGAATGTTAACATACTACGTTAACACAGGACTCATATTTACGTTATATAACAATATAATATGCTCAGAGTGTTGTATCCATGAGCCTCGTGTTCAAGAAGAGCTGCCATAGTTACCTGTTACCATAGTTACCAGGGTTATATTAGTTACCATAGTTACCTGTTACCATAGTTACCAGGGTTATATTAGTTACCATAGTTACCTGTTACCATAGTTACCAGGGTTATATTAGTTACCATAGTTACCTGTTACCATAGTTACCAGAATTATATTAGTTACCATAGTTACCTGTTACCATAGTTACCAGGGTTATATTAGTTACCATAGTTACCTGTTACCATAGTTACCAGGGTTATATTAGTTACCATAGTTACCTGTTACCATAGTTACCAGGGTTATATTAGTTACCATAGTTACCTGTTACCATAGTTACCAGGGTTATATTGGGGTAGATAAGGGTCCTGGGAAGTTGACAGGAGGTTCTGGGGCAGAACAAACTGAACAAACTGACACATTTTTAAAAACAGAGGTATATTGAAGAAGCTGTTCAATAAAACACGTGATAAAACACGTCATAAAACACGTGATAAAACACGTGATAAAACACGTGATAAAACACGTGATAAAAAACGTGATAAAATACGTGATAAAACACGTGATAAAACACGTGATAAAATACGTGATAAAACACGTGATAAAACACGTGATAAAATACGTGATAAAATACGTGATAAAATACGTGATAAAACACGTGATAAAATATGTGATTCACTGACCTGGCAAGGACAACGTGCACTTCTGGTCTGTTGACTATCTGTTTGTAGAACGACTTGAATTGGTCCAGAGATAGAGTTCCTCCTTTGTCGAAACACAAATCTGATTCCTGTAGATAAATAACTAGATAATTAACTAATTTAGTTAATTGATTTTAAATACAGATTGTTATTACAATTATTATAAATAATTTTATACGCAGCTGGAACAGGATTGCAGCTGGAACAGGATTGCAGCTGGAACAGGATTACTAGAATCCACTGTTTATCCACACCACTTGAACCGTTTGAATATATTATTATCTTTTTGAGGTATTTTTCTATTATCAATGAGTGCAAAAATTACTAGAGTTTGTTTGTTTACGTAAACTAAGATAAATCAATCATGATAATATCATGGAAGAATTTATCAGATTCTATATTATTAAAGTGGAACTCTTATTTATCTCTGATATGAGGTGAAACGGTAGTCACTGCTGGTTTTGACGTCTTACTCGGCCAATCTAAAAGATCGACTCACATCTACGTCATACCACAACATTTTATAAATTTTAAAATATTTATTTTGACAGCTGTAAATTTACTTAAACGGCATGCTACCTACGCAAGCTGAGTCTGTATTCTAACTTCCTCTGATATAATACTATGAGTTTATGCCTCATAAACTTGGGCTGCCGGACAACTGAACCCAATTAAGACATTTAGATTAACCCCAACCCCAACCCCAACCCCAACCCCAACCCCAACCCCAACCCCAACCCCAACCCCAACCCCAACCCCAACCCCAACCCCAACCCCAACCCCAACCCCAACCCCAACCCCAACCTCAACCCCAACCCCAACCCCAACCCCAACCCTAACCAATTAAGCTGATATTGGTAAGTGGGAATTATGTTTAATTGGGTTCAGTTGTCGGCCACCCGGATTTTTACAGGCAAAACTGTTACAATTAAACGCACTGTTAATAAATATAAATCTCATGGACAAGTGGACACGATGAAGGATAAACTTTGCAATACGGCTCCTCCGCAAGCAATACAGCAAATTAGAACGTTTTTGAATTTATATTCGACTCTTATAAGGCAATGCAGAATTTATTTTATTTGATTAAGAATCGCTTTTATGCAACTCCAGATGAAGGCATCTACTTTAAGTTTAAAAGTTGACAGATTAACAATTTGACAACTCGAAAGCAACCTCCGGATAACCTAGATATAATGTTGGATATTTAAAACATATAAGTGATACGAAAGGATTGTATCAGCAGTATAGTATTAGATAATAGATATAATGTATTTCAAGAGCTCGCCGATAAAAAACAATATCACTTTTGTCGTTATTCACTACTACTACTACTACTACTTATACTTCTACTTATACTACTACTTATACTACTAGCTCTAATTCTCTTAGCTATCTAATTCAGTATCCCCCAATATTAAACAATAACAATATTATTGGTATCATCTTGTCACGTCAAATAATCACTAGACACGAGTGTTATCGGAAAGTGTAGGAAAGTGTAGGAAAGTGTAGGAAAGTGTAGGAAAGTGTAGGAGCAGTGTAAGAAAGTGTAGGAACAGTGTAGGAGCAGTGTAGGAAAGTGTAGGAGCAGTGTAGTTCACTACTACTACTACTACTACTAACAGCAGTGTTGTGCCTGATAAAAATGTCCAATCAGAATCATTCTATTGTTACAACTTTACAACACAAGGTATTAGTCAGGTTGCGGTTCTGGGGGTTCGATTGATCAATGTCGTGAAGCTGATTGGGTCGTTGCTGTCACGTGTCAAAAAATATACCTTCCCAACTAGAATCCACATCTATAGGTAATCATTAATATAACTCCTAATGTTATAACTCCTTAACTCCTATTAACCAATTTAATTTACAGAAAGCAATTTTTAGAACTCCAGCGTCACTTCACAGTCCCCCGATATAGATATAAGTGGGTAACTGTAAGTGGTCACTAGTTGGTTACTTAGTGGGTCCTATATATAGATCGTGATGTAGGTAAACCTCACACGAGGTGGTTAACCATGGTTACATGTTACCATGGCCTGGTTACCAGGGTTACATACGTACCACGTGACGCAGTGCTAGTGGGAAATATGATTTCTGCTTCAACTTACCAGAGTGCCTGTTATTTTAGTTCAACTTAAGATACCCCACACCCCACACCCCACACCCCACACCCACACCCCACACCTTACACCCCACACCCCACACTCCACACCCCACACCCCACACCCCACACCCCACACTCCACACCCACACCCACACCCCACACCCCACACCCCACACCCCACACCCCACACCCCACACCCCACACCCCACACCCCACACCCCACACCCCACACCCCACACCCCACACCCCACACCCCACACCCCACACCCCACACCCCACACCCCACACCCCACACCCCACACCCCACACCCCACACCCCACACCCCACACCCCACACCCCACACCCCACACCCCACACCCCACACCCCACACCCCACACCTAATATAACACACCTAATATTACACACAGTGAGACTAAATTAACATTGATCATGACTGCAGCTGTTGCCCAGCAACAGGTGCGCATCAAACAGTACCGCCTGCAACTTTACTTATATACTGTATTATTATAAAGTGCGTAATATCGTGTATTATTATAAAGTGCGTAATATTATTGTGATCCTGGATAACTTCTCTTATAACAATGGTTTTAGCAGCCGGGAATAATCATTGAGACCTATCTTTAGATCAAGATATTAACCTATATCATTGAGACTGCTACTATCTTTATATTATATTAACCTATATTAATCTATATCATTGAGACTGCTACTATCTTTAGATCAAGATATTAACCTATATTAATCTATATCATTGAGACTGCTACTATCTTTAGATCAAGATATTAACCTATATTAACCTATATCATTGAGACTGCTACTATCTTTATATTATATTAACCTATATTAATCTATATCATTGAGACTGCTACTATCTTTAGATCAAGATATTAACCTATATTAATCTATATCATTGAGACTGCTACTATCTTTAGATCAAGATATTAACCTATATTAATCTATATCATTGAGACTGCTACTATCTTTAGATCAAGATATTAACCTATATTAACCTATATCATTGAGACTGCTACTATCTTTAGATCAAGATATTAACCTATATTAATCTATATCATTGAGACTGCTACTATCTTTAGATCAAGATATTAACCTATATTAACCTATATCATTGAGACTGCTACTATCTTTAGATCAAGATATTAACCTATATTAACCTATATTATTGAGACTGCTACTATCTTTAGATCAAGATATTAACCTATATTAACCTATATCATTGAGACTGCTACTATCTTTAGATCAAGATATTAACCTATATTAACCTATATCATTGAGACTGCTACTATCTTTAGATCAAGATATTAACCTATATTAACCTATATTATTGAGACTGCTACTATCTTTAGATCAAGATATTAACCTATATTAACCTATATCATTGAGACTGCTACTATCTTTAGATCAAGATATTAACCTATATTAACCTATATTATTGAGACTGCTACTATCTTTAGATCAAGATATTAACCTATATTAACCTATATTATTGAGACTGCTACTATCTTTAGATCAAGATATTAACCTATATTAACCTATATCATTGAGACTGCTACTATCTTTAGATCAAGATATTAACCTATATTAACCTATATCATTGAGACTGCTACTATCTTTAGATCAAGATATTAACCTATATTAACCTATATCATTGAGACTGCTACTATCTTTAGATCAAGATATTAACCTATATTAACCTATATTATTGAGACTGCTACTATCTTTAGATCAAGATATTAACCTATATTAACCTATATTATTGAGACTGCTACTATCTTTAGATCAAGATATTAACCTATATTAACCTATATCATTGAGACTGCTACTATCTTTAGATCAAGATATTAACCTATATTAACCTATATTATTGAGACTGCTACTATCTTTAGATCAAGATATTAACCTATATTAACCTATATCATTGAGACTGCTACTATCTTTAGATCAAGATATTAACCTATATTAACCTATATTATTGAGACTGCTACTATCTTTAGATCAAGATATTAACCTATATTAACCTATATTATTGAGACTGCTACTATCTTTAGATCAAGATATTAACCTATACGGTATTTACTATTTGTACATAACAGCTGACTCAATGACTGGTTACTATGGTTACTCTGTCTGAACTCTCAAATTTCTATTTAACTATTAATACACAATAATCAGATATACGTGAATGTTGGTAAATTGTAGTAGTCTACTAGAACACTAAGAACTAGAGTTAACACCCCCCCCCCCCCCCCCCCCCCCCCCAGTTATCTTGATTCTTGGCACACTCTCTTAACGATGTGCTAACTACCACTAAATAGGTTGATATGGTAGGATAGTAGTAGTAGGCAGGATACATTATATAATATACAGGATACGTTATATAATATAACGGCTAAAGAGAGGTAGGTAGGTAGGTGGGATACATTATAATATGAATGGGGGGATCAAATCAGTTGTAAACACACTTAAACCCTTTTATATAATGGGAGATCTTTATATCCTATAAATTATACAGAATATCTACTTTTACAGTGGCAGAAAGTTTTATTCGGGTACAGGTAATGTCCCATAAACTGAAGTTCTATTAAAACAGTGCTGACAACTCAAGCCCCTACAGATCGCAATAAAAAATACAACTGAATATCAATATAATTAATTACTATCACGGTGGGGAGATTGCCTTATTCACTATTGTAATAATCTAGCTCAATATTGTAAGTATTATATAAATACTAGTGTAACCCGGCCTTATTATATAAATACAATAGCAAAAGCACTTAGCTTGAGCTAAGACAAGTGTAGTTAAAGCATTGAATAGGAATAATTAGTTAATGTAGGACTAATTAGTTAATGCTTTAATAGATCGCAGTAATTGGTTGTTCAATATTGTGTGCATAAGTAATGGGCAATGGCTCTGTAATGTGGGTACTGTTTTATCTGCAGTTCTTTAGTGCTAATCTATTTAGGGAAAGTAAATGATAATGTTATGTCGTAGTAATGTACTGATCCAAATAAAATAACAAAATTATAATTATTTAATAAACACCACACCAAACAGTCAGACACATTTGCACATAGTTACTGGTACACTGTACACTGTGTGTAGTGTGTAGTGTGTAAAACACACCTAATACACTGTAACTGTAACACATAGTTACTGGTACATTGTACACTGTGTGTAGTGTGTAGTGTGTAGAACACACCTAATACACTGTACCTGTAACACATAGTTACTGGTACATTGTACACTGTGTGTAGTGTGTAGTGTGTAGAACACACTTAATACACTGTACCTGTAACACATAGTTACTGGTACATTATATACACTGTGTGTAGTGTGTAGAACACACCTAATACACTGTACCTGTAACACATAGTTGCTGGTACATTGTACACTATGTGTAGTGTGTAGTGTGTGTAAAACACACCTAATACACTGTACCTGTAACACATAGTTACAGGTACATTGTACACTGTGTGTAGTGTGTAGTGTGTAGAACACACCTAATACACTGTACCTGTAACACATAGTTACTGGTACATTGTACACTGTGTGTAGTGTGTAGTGTGTGTAAAACACACCTAATACACTGTACCTGTAACACATAGTTACTGGTACATTGTACACTGTGTGTAGTGTGTAGTGTGTAGAACACACCTAATACACTGTACCTGTAACACATAGTTACTGGTACATTGTACACTGTGTGTAGTGTGTAGTGTGTAGAACACACTTAATACACTGTACCTGTAACACATAGTTACTGGTACATTATATACACTGTGTGTAGTGTGTAGAACACACCTAATACACTGTACCTGTAACACATAGTTGCTGGTACATTGTACACTATGTGTAGTGTGTAGTGTGTGTAAAACACACCTAATACACTGTACCTGTAACACATAGTTACAGGTACATTGTACACTGTGTGTAGTGTGTAGTGTGTAGAACACACCTAATACACTGTACCTGTAACACATAGTTACTGGTACATTGTACACTGTGTGTAGTGTGTAGTGTGTGTAAAACACACCTAATACACTGTACCTGTAACACATAGTTACTGGTACATTGTACACTGTGTGTAGTGTGTAGTGTATAGAACACACCTAATACACTGTACCTGTAACACATAGTTACTGGTACATTGTACACTGTGTGTAGTGTGTAGTGTGTAGAACACACCTAATACACTGTACCTGTAACACATAGTTACTGGTACATTGTACACTGTGTGTAGTGTGTAGTGTATAGAACACACCTAATACACTGTACCTGTAACACATAGTTACTGGTACATTGTACACTGTGTGTAGTGTGTAGTGTGTAGAACACACCTAATACACTGTACCTGTAACACATAGTTACTGGTACATTGTACACTGTGTGTAGTGTGTAGTGTGTGTAAAACACACCTAATACACTGTACCTGTAACACATAGTTACTGGTACATTGTACACTGTGTGTAGTGTGTAGTGTGTAGTAAACACACCTAATACACTGTACCTGTAACACATAGTTACTGGTACAGTGTACACTGTGTGTAGTGTGTAGTGTGTAGAACACACCTAATACACTGTACCTGTAACACATAGTTACTGGTACATTGTACACTGTGTGTAGTGTGTAGTGTGTAGAACACACCTAATACACTGTACCTGTAACACATAGTTACTGGTACATTGTACACTGTGTGTAGTGTGTAGTGTGTAGGACACACCTAATACACTGTACCTGTAATAGTTACAGTTAATTAACCACTTAACCACAACTAACTTCCGTTTGTTTATTACAATGGGGAGCTGTCACTGGTCGCGCGCACCAACACGTGCAGTTAGCGAGGAACGTGGGACTGTGGTGTGTTTTGTGCACGTGCAATGTTTTAATGATCAATATAGCGTGTAACACATGAAGCAGGCTATTAGTGTCCAGCAGAAACCACTGTCAGGTACATTAACACTATCCTTACAATGTACAAATACTTCACAATATGTTGTGAATTTGGCTCTAACACTTTCTGACCTGTGTCAATTATAAAAACACTAATAAGAGCTATTTTTAGTTATCACATACACCAACATTATTGATAAATGTACAAGTTACTTTTCTGTGGCGCCCTACATAGTAGAATAACCCACACCACCCTTCAAAACTATTTATGGATATTATATTTAGGCAGCTACAAATCAATCGAGAAGTTTCTAATTGGCATTCTCCATTTTCTTAAAGAACCTTCACCAGACCACACATTCTCCACTGATTACTTTTAAATCTTTAAAATTTAAATAACGACTATATTAACAGACAATCAGCAAATTGTCGAGAACTATAATTCACTGCGACAACGTATTAAACACCAGTTGTTAGTACTCGCAAATCAGAAAACCAGCTCGGCAAGTGGTAACTGGTTGCTCGGACAATGGTTGCCATGGCAACCGTGCAGTCTGTATTGCTTAGCTTGCAGCTACCATTTATTAGTGCTCCATTATCAGCTTGATAAAGTAAAAATGTACCCGGTACCCCTATTTTACCTAGTAAGTTCGATACTCGATAGTTGGCCAGTTGAGTTTGTAAGTAGTTACCAGCTAAATAATAAGTTTCGCTTTGTTCAGGTAACTTTACTTTTATTGGCTACAGTTTACAGACCTCTTTCTGAAGCTCTTATCTGGGCCCAGATAAGATTTAAGAGGACGGATCGTTAAACGATATTTTTCAAAAGATGTCCATTGAAAAGAGTTACTATGCTTCTCAGCAGTAGAGTTTCTAAAGCTTCGTGTTTTTAAATAATGTTCAAAAATTTCACGTTGTCAACACGTCTTAAACTTGACGGACATTTTACCTGAAAAATAAATAAAAGCGTTACAAAAAGTTGAAAGACCAAAAGTAGCAGAATAACCAGACCAACCTTGAACTTCTTGACAACATGGAGGGTAGTAAGATGTTTATTAAGAGACTCCAACAGTTCCAGGAACTCAATGTGCTCCAGTGTACCATCATGGTTCAGATCAGCTGCGTAGTAGATCTCTTCTAACCACCTGTCCCTTAGTTCCTCCGCTGTACTCTTGTGTTCCTCATCTGGGGATCACGTGGTTAGATAGGTATTTAAATTAGTTTATTGGTTATTTAGCAAATCAAATAATTAGTTTGTTAGTTGATCGGCGCTTTGATTGTTTGCCGCGTAGCTTATTCGCTGTTCATTCTGCTAATCAGTTCATAATCGGTTAAATCAGTTATCACGCGGTAATGACTCATGGTTGGAAAATTTGTTTCAACACGTGACAATGACACGTGACAATGACACGTGACAATGACACGTGACAATGACACGTGACAATGACACGTGACAATGACACGTGACAATGACACGTGACAATGACACGTGACAATGACACGTGACAATAACACGTGACAATAACACGTGACAATGACACGTGACAATGACACGTGACAATGACACGTGACAATGACACGTGACAATGACACGTGACAATGACAATGACACGTGACAATGACACGTGACAATGACACGTGACAATGACACGTGACAATGACACGTGACAATGACACGTGACAATGACACGTGACAATGACACGTGACAATGACACGTGACAATGACACGTGACAATGACACGTGACAATGACACGTGACAACGAAACTAGTTTATTTATAGTTCATTCATTACTGGTAGTTTGTATAAACAAAGTGGCTGCGAAGTGTATGTACATTTTTTCCTTTTAAGCAACAATCTGCAGAGTATAGAATTGGAAACACGTACTTGGTAAAAAGTTCAACTTTCAAGGATGGAAAAAATTAGTTTATTCTTAAGCTATTATTTTCCTTTTTTTATAAATTGGTTCCACCGGCAGCGCCCGGATCAAAATGTTTGTAGTTTATTTGTATTTTATCCAATAGCAAGTTATCTTATTAATTAATAAAAGTTTATTATATAAGATCAAAAGTTTTAATTTGTCTCTTGAGAACAACAAAATTACATTATGCTTAATGATCAATAAATGACCAATTTTATTCGGTTTGATGACTCGCTCTGAGTCGTTTATATTATGTTTATAAACATAAAGTTATAAATAACTTTATAAGATGGGCTAAATGAAGTCTAGACTAATTCTGGTAAATTAGCTAACATCTGAGTAACAGATTCAGCTGGAAATAGTGGGCTATTTACTACTACTACTACTACTACTGTACTCTACTGTACTACTACTGTACTACTACTTCTACTACTGTACTACTACTGTACTACTACTGTACTACTTCTACTACATGGGTTCAGTGGTGAGACTTAATTCTGATCACAGATAGCATTGTGTAACAGGCTGAGCATGCACCGCTGTGTAGCAACAAATAGTGGCATAAAATGAGACTTCTATTCGTGGATTGTAGTAACTATTAATTGTAGTTGACCGCACTATTTATATAATATTATATCCCGACATGGACAATTGTAGAGACTTTAGGCTTTTAGGGGCATATAACAATTATAGCTGTTAAAATAAGAGTGTGGTGACCTATTATATGATAGTAGAAACAGACACTATTTCATGTGATGTGAGAGATATAATGCTCTGTACATTTACATGAGTTCATGTGCCCAGTATATCATACCACATAAATTATACACGTGCTACATAATATACATACTTCATATAATATATACTGCACGTGCTACTTCACACATATACTGCACGTGCGACGTGTCTAGAAGCTGTATGGAACTGTTAATGCGCATACAAAAGCTTATTATTAGTGGGGTATAAGCCAGGTGTAAGGAAGATGTCTCTCAGAACACACCATCTCTGTCAGGGTGTGTACACTCTCTCTCTCTTCTCTTGAGGGGGCAGTGGGGTCTTTAGCTCTTTAGGAAAATACTCCCCTCTTTCAGAAACAACTGTAAAGTCAATTTCGAGACAATTTTCCCGAAGACCCCCCCCCCCCCGGCCCTGCCCCTTTAATGTCCCTCTCGGTCAGGCTAGGTATAGTAAGAAACAGACCCCCCCCCCCCTAACAAACAGATGCACTATCTAAAAGGAGGCTCAGCTGACAGCTAATGATCGGTAGAGAGAGGTGTTTTGCTGCCACGCCCTTATTACTCTGATATTGCTAATGTGCGAGACTCTTACAGTCGCTGCGTTTTAGACTGGTCTGTAATTGTTATGAGCTAGAGAAGATAATACCGTGTTTGTTATAATGATTGACGCACAGCGCGCAGTGTGTACAAGTCTCCCGTCACAATATCATAATATGTGCATACTGAGTAGTTACAGTTAACGGTACAGGTATAAATAAACCTACAAAGAATATATCACACGCACGTTGCCATGGCAATTACACACAACTACTTGCTTAGTAATTATAGAACCGTGTGTGACACGGTGTTGTTGTAATTTTTCACAGTGAGTATACTGCATAATAATATCTTGTAATAGCTCTCATAATTATAATACCCTCTCAGCTGGTATCATATTATTATCATAGCTTTCTTAGCTCATATCATAGCTTTCTTAGCTCATATCATAGCTTTCTTAGCTCATCTCATAGCTTTCTTAGCTCATATCATAGCTTTCTCAGCTCATATCATAGCTTTCTTAGCTCATATCATAGCTTTCTTAGCTCATATCATAGCTTTCTCAGCTCATATCATAGCTTTCTTAGCTCATCTCATAGCTTTCTTAGCTCATCTCATAGCTTTCTTAGCTCATCTCATAGCTTTCTTAGCTCATCTCATAGCTTTCTTAGCTCATCTCATAGCTTTCTTAGCTCATCTCATAGCTTTCTAAGCTCATATCATAGCTTTCTTAGCTCATATCATAGCTTTCTTAGCTCATCTCATAGCTTTCTTAGCTCATCTCATAGCTTTCTTAGCTCATATCATAGCTTTCTTAGCTCATATCATAGCTTTCTTAGCTCATCTCATAGCTTTCTTAGCTCATATCATAGCTTTCTTAGCTCATATCATAGCTTTCTTAGCTCATATCATAGCTTTCTTAGCTCATTTCATAGCTTTCTTAGCTCATATCATAGCTTTCTCAGCTCATATCATAGCTTTCTTAGCTCATATCATAGCTTTCTTAGCTCATATCATAGCTTTCTCAGCTCATATCATAGCTTTCTTAGCTCATATCATAGCTTTCTTAGCTCATATCATAGCTTTCTTAGCTCATATCATAGCTTTCTTAGCTCATATCATAGCTTTCTCAGCTCATATCATAGCTTTCTTAGCTCATATCATAGCTTTCTCAGCTCATATCATAGCTTTCTTAGCTCATCTCATAGCTTTCTTAGCTCATATCATAGCTTTCTTAGCTCATATCATAGCTTTCTTAGCTCATATCATAGTTTTTTTAGCTCATATCATAGCTTTCTTAGATCATCTCATAGCTTTCTTAGCTCATATCATAGCTTTCTTAGCTCATATCATAGCTTTCCTAGCTCATATCATAGCTTTCTTAGCTCATCTCATAGCTTTCTTAGCTCATATCATAGCTTTCTTAGCTCATATCATAGCTTTCTTAGCTCATCCCATAGCTTTCTTAGCTCATATCATAGCTTTCTTAGCTCATATCATAGCTTTCCTAGCTCATATCATAGCTTTCTTAGCTCATCTCATAGCTTTCTTAGCTCATATCATAGCTTTCTTAGCTCATCTCATAGCTTTCTTAGCTCATCTCATAGCTTTCTTAGCTCATATCACAGCTTTCTTCGCTCATATCATAGCTTTCTTAGCTCATATCATAGTTTTTTTAGCTCATATCATAGTTTTCTTAGCTCATCTCACAGCTTTCTTAGCTCATATATCATAGCTTTCTTAGCTCATATCATAGCTTTCTTAGCTCATATATCATAGCTTTCTTAGCTCATATCATAGCTTTCTTAGCTCATATCACAGCTATCAATACTCTCTAACTCTGAGTTAAAACACCCAATACTCTCTAACTCTGAGTTATAACACCCAATACTCTCTAACTCTGAGTTGTAACACCCAATACAATAGCTGAATCAAGTAAAATACATACGTATGGTGAGCTCGGAGATAACGTCACAATTTGTATCAGTCCACTATGTTAGTTGACAAGGCCTCTATAGTCTATAACTGCCCTCTATATGCACACTTATACCCCTCATCTATAGGCTATGTTAGTTGACAAGGCCTCTATGACTCCCTCTATAGGCACACTCATACCCCTCATAGAGGCTATGTTAGTTGACAAGGCCTCTATAACTCCCTCTATAGGCACACTTATACCCCTCATAGAGGCTATGTTAGAACTAACCTTGTCAACTTTGACAAGGCCTCTATAACTCCCCTTTATAGGCACACTTATACCCCTCATAGAGGCTATGTTAGTTGACAAGGCCTCTATAACTCCCTCTATAGGCACACTAAAACCCCTCATAGAGGCTATGTTAGTTGACAAGGCCTCTATAACTATTAACTCCCCTTTATCTAAGGCACACTTATACCCCTCATAGAGGCTATGTTAGTTGACAAGGCCTCTATAACTGCCCTCTATAGGCACGCTTATACCCCTCGTAGAGGCTATGTTAGTTGACAAGGCCTCTATAACTCCCTCTATAGGCACACTTATACCCCTCATAGAGGCTATGTTAGTTGACAAGGCCTCTGTAACTCCCCTCTATTGGCACACTTATACCCCTCATAGAGGCTATGATAGTTGACAAGGCCTCTATATTATAGAGGCTATAACTCCCCTTTATAGGCACACTTATACCCCTTTATACCAGTCTGAGTATAGAAAACTGACTGTAAATTGTAATTACTTACTGATTTACTTACTTAAAGGAATGTGAGTTGTGATTATTACAGTATCACACTGGCACACCTCTGTTTCAAGTATAAGCTAGACTTTGTTATGAATTTGTAGAGTTTTGTTGAGAATATTTCAGCAATTTTACAGTTTTACTGTCTACAGCCTGGTGAGTGACAAGTTTTCAATGTCAATGTGAAATTATAGTATTTGGCGTCGCAACTAGTTATTTCTAAACTCTCAATGTCACGAGAAATTGAATTATATAATTCTAAGAATCGTTGATCGA